GCATCTTCTTCTACCTGCTCCTTCATTGAGAACTTGTAGACCCATGGATGGGGGTTGGGCAGGCTTCTTATACTCACCACCTGTACTTGCCATGTCACAGCACTGTCAAAGGATATGTATCACTTTTCAGGAGGGAAGCCATTGTCATCTGCTCTCCTTACCACATCTTGGTGGTGGTGCTGCTGCTTGGTCCATGACTGCCTATTCATCAGATTTACCTCTGCTTATTTCACAGCTAACCTTCCCTGAAGGCCATTCTACTATCTGCTACCTGTGGGTACAGCTCTGCCCCACAGCAGAAAAAGTAGGACTGGGAGAAGGGACCCTAGAAGGTCATCTAGTCCAATCTTTTGCTCAAGACAAGATCATTCCTACTCAAACCAACCCATAAGAATACTTAACATATTTCTAAAACGACACAATCAACCCTGTCACATCAAGATCACCCTAACCTGGAAGCGGTAATGCAGGGGAATAAGGACTGTCAGTGAACCACCTCTGCAAGGGTTGCTAAAATACGTTTGAGAAATGCAAGGAAGGGGGCCACAGTGTCCACTACAGAGGAAGACAAAATCCCCTAGGGTCCATTCCAGTCTGACAACGGGGTAAAAATTCCTTTCTGATCCCAAATGTGACGATCAGTCTGACCCTGAGCTATCCAAGAACCTCTGGGTTTCAGTCCCATCTCAAGCAGTGGCACACTAGTCAAAATCCCCAGCCTTGGCTGCAGCAAATACTCAATGTTTCTAAAGAAGGCAAGAAAAAAGCCTTGATAGCTATAGCAGGAAGAGGGGGGAAAATCCTTATCTACCCCATGTGACAACAAGGAATGCCTAAAAGCATAGGGGGAAAAACACAAAATGAAACAAATAACTCCCACCTCTCACACTGCTCTGCAACCTGGGGACACCAAGCATAAATCCACATACCGCACTTCTAACTGGAGAGCTAAAATCTCTTTTTCAGTATCCCCTCCATAAAGCTTATCCTTGCCGCTTTAATCTTTTGTAATTAAGTGCTTGTAGAACTCTGCTTCTTTCTCCTGCTGTGGAGCATGCTCCTCTCCACTATCTACCTGCTCTGGGCTTCAGGTCTCTTCTTATAATCTCCCAGTTATCTGTGGGCATGGAGGCACTTGGGATTCCAACTGTTGCTCTTTACAGAGCATTCCAGGAACAGCTATTCCTAGTTCATTCTTGATGCAGGAGTCCACAACTTCCTGAGGCAGTGTATTCCACTGCCTCACTAGTCTAAGTGTGTAACAGGGAACCCCTGCCCCTATTACTAGGAGGGTTTGAGAGGGTCAAGGGCTAGGGATCAGACAGCTAATGATGAATTAGCCAAACCTGGAATGAGCCAAAAAGGACCAATCAGGTGGCAGTAGCGAGGTGGGCTGTGGAATATAAACTGAGTCCCTGAGCTAGAGTGGGACAATCTGGTCTTGAAGGCTGCAGACTAAGGGGCTCTTGTGTAAGGCAGCCACAGGAAATGGGATGACTGGTGCCCAGGCAGTACCAGAGAGCTGTGAAAAGGAAGCCAAGAGGGATTCCTAGGCTGTAGGGAAGTATTAACCCAAGGTTGGGAGGATTTTGTTTTACAGCTTTGAGGCTTGTGCTTATGTTTTGGTTAGATCTATCAAAGGATGGCTGTGGCTATAGGGGAAGATGCTGTCACAGATGGGTGCTTTAGAGCACTCCCTTTTCAGTAAGCACCCTGGGTCTTGGCCCTAAGGTAAAGGCTACTGGCTCCCAGAAAAGGGGGTAAGGCCAAACCCTAGAGCCTGAGTTCTTGTGAGGCCCAGGTGAAGGGTGTGGCCAGAGGAAGAAAGGGCTGAGGCTGTGGTAGCCAAGACTGTGACAAGTGCCTCAGAAATCTATGGGTGTATTCCCTTAAGGGGGAAGTACTATGAGAAGATGAAGTCTCCAGGTGTAGCTGGTCAGAGCAGCCTACCCCATGAGATGACTACTGACCCTCAAGAACCCCTCCCTGTCAATAACAAGTAATAGCAAAGGAGTGGCATGTGAGTGACTGGAGGTAAAGTAGGGGAGGGGGTTGGGAAGCAACCAGCAAGCGGGCAGACCCCTGTGGGTTTTATGCAGTGAAGACGTTTTTCCTGATATTTAACTCTAAACCTACTTTGCTGCAACTTCAAGCCATTGCTCTGCATCCTGATATCTGCAACAACAGAGATCTCTGTCTGTGTCTCTCATATTAGATATTTGAAGCCTGCTATCACGTTATACTGGGTTTCACTGGTAGGAGTGTTGCCAGCAGATCCAGGGAAGTTATTATTTCCCATCTGTTCAACACTGGTGAGGTCACATCTGGAGTACTGTGTCCAGTTCTGGGTTCCCCTCTACAGAAAAGATGTGGACAAATTGGAGAGAGTTCAGTGGAGGGCAACAAAAATGGTAAGAGGGCTGGGGCACATGACTTCTGAGGAGAGGCTGAGGGAATTGAGCTTAGTTAGTCTAGAGAAGAGGGGATTTAATAGCAGCCTTCAACTACCTGAAGGGTGGTTCCAAAGAGAATGGAGCTACGCTGTTCTCTGTGGTTCTGTCATCTGCCACAAAGAGCAATAGTTTCAAGTTGCAGCAAGGGAAGTTTTGGTTAGCTGTTGGGAAAAACTGTCTCACTAGGAGGGTAGTAAAATACTAGAACAGGTTACCTGGAGAAGGCGGTAGAGTTTGAGCCCCTGGGATGATCTAGTTGGGGATGGACCTGCTTTAGCACGGTGTTGGGCTAGATGATCTCCTGAAGTCCCTTCCAACCCCTCTCAAACACCTTCTCTGCAAGTTGAACATACCTATTTCTTTCACCTTCTCCTTATATGGCTTGACTTCAAAACCCTTTATCATTTTTGTCACCTGCTTTTGGAACCTAACTTCTCTTTCTCTTGTGGAGCTGAAAACTGCATGCTAAGTAAAAGGCACTATCATTTACTCTCTTACACCTATTGATGCAAATGAAAGCTGCTGGCCTTATTTGCAGATGAGTCACACTGCAGGCTTGTATTTGATCTTGTAATCCACCAAGATCCACCCCAGCTCCCCACAGGTCTAGAAATTTGGCAGTGGGGAAGCAGTGGCAGAATTAATTGATGTAGCTCCCAAAGCTGCAGCAATTAATGCAGCTTCTATTAGTCCTGACTCCAAACTTTTGGACTGTAGGGAGCCCCACTGGCAGCCCTGTGTTCTGCATTGGGCCTGTGAACTGACCCCATACATGGGATCCAGCCAGACTGACCTTATGTGTCAAATCATGGCTACAAACTTGTCCTGTGCACCAGATCATAAACTGCAGACTGACCCTGTGCCACAAGGCTGGATGAGTTGTGCTATGAGTTGAGTACCACTGGTCTAGCCCACATTCCTTCAGTTTCATTATGAGATGGTCACAGTGGATTCTGCTAAAAGCTTTGTTGAAGTCCAGATAGACTATATTCCCTTCATCCACACAGTTCCTTTGTTGAGGAAGGGGATGAGATTTGTTTGGCACAACTTGTTCTTGGCAAATCCAAGCCTGATTAGCCTGTCTTCCTCCAGATGCTTGCAAATAAACTTCTTTATGATCTGTTCTAATAACTTCTCAGGTATTAAGGTCTTGCTAACTGATTTACAATTCTGCATGACCAGAAGAGAAATATTGTCCTGCAAGGAGAAAAAGCCCAAAGGGACAAAGCTTTATGTTCTGCTCTGTGTCTGTTTACCTAGAGGGGGAATAAGCTTAAGTTAGGATTTTTGTTTGATTAGCAAGTGCAAAGGGGTGAAGCCTCCATAGTGTAGACTTTTTACATTCATCCAGAGCAGGGTGGATGAGTTTAAGTTGGAATTTGTTTGACTGACATCCTGTGGACCAGGACTGTTATAAAGGGGCAATAAGGCAGCTGCATAATAGGTTACTTGATATTCTGGGAGAGAGATTCAAGTAGGAGGAATTGGCTGAAAGGCATAGGCATAAAAGCCCATAGTCTAGAACCCAAGCCATGTGTCAGGGGCTCAAGGGCCTGCTGCTGTTGCATAAGGGTTCAACTATGGGCTTACCAACCAGGGACCTTGTGGGCATGAAATAAGAATGTGGTTGATAGACTGGGAGAAAGGACTGAAGGCATAAGAACCACTAACCCAGAGGGATTAAGACCCAGAAAGGCTGGGCTGATGGACTGAGCTGGATATAAAAGTCACAGTACAGATAAGAGAGGCAGAGGGCAAGTAAGCACCAGGAACCCCACCAGTCCAGGGGGATGTTATCATCAGGTTTCCCCCGGCTTAGAAACAGAACAGTCTCCATGATTAATTTTAACAGCAACACATGGTAGATGAATTGGAGAAAAGGGGAGGTTTATGAATGAACTGAGGGTGATGGGATCCCTCTGCCTGAGTCTTGTCAAACTTTATTTGTATGCAAATACTGAAAGTGTTTTGCATTTTAGCCTACTCATTTCCCTCTTGCATTCACTATTGTTGTTCTATGGCTCTTTCACTCTTCCCTTGAGTTGAGCTTTTTCCTCTGGCCCTCTCCTCCTAAATTTGTCGGGGGTGGGGGAGGTTTGTTTTGTTTTTGTTTTGTTTGTTGCTGGAGAGCTTGGTCTACTGTCCCCCCCCCATATAATTTAGTTTTAAAATGCTTCTTACTAGACTAGCCAGAGGATGCCCAAATATATTCTTTCCAGTTCTGGTCAGATGGATTCTGTTTCTTGGTAGTAATCATCACCCTCTAAACATCCATCCAATATCAGAGAAACCAAAAATCTTTATATTGACACCACTCGGCCATGCATTTACCTCCATGATGCGATTAGCCTTACCTGGGCCCTGACCTTCCACTGGGATGACTGATGAGAACACCACTTGTTATCCATACTCTTTAACTCTCATGCCAAGAGTCCCACAGTCTCCTTTGATTTGCTCAGAATTATTTCTGGCAGTATAATTGGTACAAAAATAAGTAGGAAAAGGTAGTGGTCTGGGGCAAATGAACTCTATCAATTTTTCTGTGACATTTGTGGTAGAAATGCCACCATCTGTGTCTCTCCCCAGGAATCTGTCCCTGTCAGCTTGAGACACTGGGGTTGAATTCCTAAGGGAGGGGGGATTTTCCTCCCTGCCTACATGACAAAAGCCTGGTGCCTAGTGTGTGGTCCCTCTGGTCACCTGAGTGGGGGGAGGAAAAAGCCCCTGCTCACCTGCCCAGTTAACCAGTGATACTTTTTAAATTG